ACCGCCTCGTAGTCTCAAAAATAAATATACAAGGAGAACTCCCGAGGAACCTCCTCATAGTCTCAAAAGTAAATATGCAAGGAGAACTCCCGAGGAACCGCCTCGTAGTCTCAAAAGTAAATGTGCAGGGAGAACTCCCGAGGAACCGCCTTGTAGTCTCAAAAGTAAACACACAGCTCAAACCGATAAATACAACAGTTAGCAACAAGATTTCTACATTTATACTGATAAAGAACAAGGAAAAATAGGGAATCAACTACGCATGCTTCACAGAGTTCAGATAAGCAGTTAAAGAACGTAGACATGCGATATTAGACTAAACAGGATAACTACACATATTGGGATAACTCAAATAAGAATGAAAACAGACTAATACTTATTTAAATGATATAACTCAAATTAAAGGAAAAACATGTTGCTACTTAGTAAAATAAATCGGGTTTTACAGCAAATAGCCCGTGTACGTACTCGTCACCTCACGTACACGGCGTTCACATATCACAACAGTACCAAATCCTATGGGGATTTCCCCCACATAAGGTTAGGCAAGCCACTTAGCTCGAACCAAGCTCAAATCAATATGTAACAATGCTTATCCACGAATATCCGACTCCGAATGACCCAAATCTAGCCAAAATCAATTACATATCATAAATATTACTATAAGAAACTAATCTAGTTAATGAAATCAAAGCTAAAGCGAGAAATTCGAAAATCGCCCCAAAAGTCTCCCCGGGTCCATGTATCGGAATCGGGTAAAAGTTACAAAATACGAACATCCATTCACTCACGAGTCCAACCATACCAAAATTTTCCAAATCCGATGTCAAAATCTCAATCAAAACCCAAAATTCTTAGTTGAATAGCTTCTTCCCATTTTTCCCAAAATTTCAACCCAAATCTGAATTTAAATAATGAAATCAACCATAGATTAGTGGAACATAACCATAAAGGAGTTAAGAATCGTTAACCAAAAGCTTTCTCTGAAAATTCCTCAAATAATTGCCTAATCTGAGCTCTCAAAGTCCCAAAATTGAAAATGAGAAATCAACCCTCGAAATCCTATTTTTTGCCCAGCAAACTCGCTCATGCGAGCCTTCAACCGCACATGTGGTATCGGAGCTGTGGAAAACTCTTCGCACGTGCGAAAATGGCTTAAATGGATGGGACCGCATCTGCGAGCTTTGGGCCGCACCTGAGAGCCCGCTCCTGCGGCTTGACTTCCGCACCTGCGCTAACAGACCTTCTTGACCAACAGCGCACCTGCGCCCTTCACTCTTGCCAGAAACCAGAAGCTTCAGCCATTTACCTAAGTCCAAATTCATTCCAATAAGCATCCGAAATATACCCGAGGCCCCCGGGACTTCAACCAAATATACCAACAAGTCCTAAAACACCATACGAACTTAGTCGAGCCCTCAAATCACATCAAACAATGCTAAAGACACGAATCACCCTCCAATTCAAACTTAATAAACTTGAAACTTTAAATTTCTACCACTGATGCTGAAATCTATCAAACCATATCCGATTGACCCCAAATTTCGCACACAAGTCATATTCAACATTACAGACCTACTCCAACTTCCGGAATCGAATTCTGACCCCGATATCAAAAAGTCCACTACCGGTCAAAATCTCCAAAAGTTCGACTTTCGCCATTCAAGCCTAAATGAGCTACATACCTCCAAAACACAATCCGGACACGCCTCTCAGTCCAAAATCATCCAACGGAGCTAACAGAATCGACGAAACTCTATTCCGGAGTCGTCTTCATACAGTTCCGACTACAGACAAAATCTTAAGGCTTAAACTTCTGTTTAGAGACTAAGTGTCCCAAAACACCCCAAAAATCAAAATAAAACCTCCCGGCAAGTCACATAAGCTGAAACAGATATGAGAAAAGCAGTAAATAGGGGATCAGGATTAATACACTCAAAATGACCGGCCGGGTCGTTATATTACTCCTACCCCGGGGGAGTAGAGAGGTTATTTTCGAAAGACCCTAAGAATTGACCGAAATTTGACTTTTATGTAGACGACTCCGAAATCATATTTTGATAATTCAAATAGTTTCGTATGGTGTATTGGGACTTAGGCGTGCGGTCGTATTTGAATTTGGAGGTCCGTAGGATAAGTTGAAGCATTTTGGCATAAATTGGAAAGTCGAAGTTTTGGAAGGTTGAGAGGTTTGACCGGAAGTTGACTCGGTTGATATTGGGCTCGGATTGCAATTTCGAGAGTTGGATTAGCTCCGTTATTTCATTTGGGACTTGCATGCAAAATTTGAGGTCATTCCGGTTTGATTTGATATGTTTCGGCACGAGTTTGGAAGTTGGAAGATTTGAAAATTCATAAGTTCGATTCGAGGTGCGATTCGTAGTTTCGATGTTGTTTGATGTGATTTAAGGCTTTGAGAAGGTCCGTGATAAGTTGGTATTTTACCAACTTATCTTGTCTTTAAGCTTAGATTTTTGCTATTTTTGAGTGATAAAATCATGTGTTTAATGTCGTTTACTTCTATTTTATAGGTTCTCTATGATTTAGAAGTGATCATGAAGAAACCAAGTAAAAAAGAGTCAAAAAGAAGTTAAAAAGAAGATAATCTGGAAAATGGCCTCAGTTGTCACAATTGTGACGCAGATGTGGGTCCTGTGAAGAAAGCAGTGATCGCATATACGAAAAAGGGCTTGGAAAATGCGATGTCAACCCAGGCAAGCAGTCCTCGCAAATGCGAAGTCAACCCAGGCAAGCAATCTTCGCAAATGCGATAAAGGACTTCGCAAATGCGATAAAGGACTTCGCAAATGCGAAGTCAAACCAGACAGTCAAACTTTGCAAATGCGAAGTCGTTATCGCAAATGCGATGGTCAACATGAATATCATTGTTCGCAAATGCGAACATTGCTTCGCGAATGCGAAGATCGCGCTTCAGTTTTGGGTACTTCTATAATTTCATACTTTTTAGCCCCAAACCCTTTAATACACGACCTAGCTTATTGGAAAAAGATCTTGGGCTGCCTTTGGACATATTTGGCATTTTTGGAGCTAGGGTTCTTGCACACACACTTGGGTCTTGAAAATTTGAAGCTTTTGGTTGTGAATTTCTTACTCATTTATGCTCATTTCTTCATTTCTTTGCTTTGTATTGAATATCTAAGTGTGTAATATTTTTTTCAATATTTGAATCTTGTTTATGGGAATATTCATATTTAAAGTGTAGATTAAATATCTTGTTGTGCTTATGTATTGAACGATTTTTATTTATTATGAAGTGAGTTATTGCTTCTTTAATTGTTCTTGTTATTTAATGTTTACAAAGGGATTAGCTAACCCTAGGACTCGCCCAATAACTTTGAATTAATTTTGGGAAAGATAATTTGGGGTTGAGAAAGATTAATTAACAAGAACTTGAAGCTTTTCACTTTATAGATTCTACCTAGGGATAAGATTGAACTACTTGTAGCCATATTCGGGTGTGCTTAATCTCTTAATTATTTTAGGGATAATTCAATTAAGAAGTCTTGTTAGTCTTCGGAAGAAGCTAATATAGAATTATTACCCGAGGCTAATTAACATAAACTCGCTCATATTTGTAAAATCGTGAAATACATTGGATCGTTACTTGAGTGTAATTCCCAATGCATCCATGCTTGTAGCCATTGATCATTTTATTTGCTTTCTAGGTTAGTTTATATTTCTGCATTTAGCTATAATATTTTCACAATTATATTTTAAGTGTTTGGCTTAGCATAATAAGTGATAATTCTCATACACGCCTAATCGCCTACATATTATTCTCGGTGGGATTCGACCCCGACTCATAGTTGGGTAAATTATATTGAATGCGACGTGCCCATTTACTTTTTAGCAGTGGATTTGGACGTCATCAAAATTAGTGCCGTTGTCGGGGAACAATTTGGCGTATTTAGGTTGTTTGAGAAGTAAGCGTAAGTGCTTTGGTCCAAACTTGTGAATATTTGTGTAATTAGTTTCTTATCTTTGTTTATCTTCTTATTTATTTTCTTAGTTTTTGAAAAATGGCGTCATATAATAAAAATTGGTCGGATGGTAGTTGTTCATACTTTGATGACCCTTGTCCTTATTGTGGAGGACCACACTCGTGGCAAAATTATTTAAATTTTTCCGAATGCGGATTGTGCGCACAATCTCAAACCCATAAATGGAGTATTTGTGATTAGTGTGATCGTCAAAACGACCATTGGGATAATTGTACTTATTTGTAGGGATATGAAAGTGGTTGAGGCTCAAATGAAAATAATGGTTGAGGCTCACTATGCCCACCAACTTGAGAGTGTGGAAAGAGGTCAAGAAGAGTCCGACTTCGAGGAAGAAAGTGAGCTTTATTTTGAGGAATCAAGAATTGAACGTCCGCCAACCGACTCCATGCTTGTTAGTGATGCCAAGTAAAATATGAAATTAGAGTCAACCGGTGTAATTGAAAATATGGTTGAAGTTGACTCTAGTTCGGGGGAAAAAAAGGATGTCAAAATCGGGGAAGAATTGCAATTTGAAGGCTTGAGGTCGCATTCCAAGCATTTTTCATCTTTGGAATTGCATGGTGATATGGGAATTGAGCCGTGCGAATCCATATGGAAGTTCAAAGAAGAAAAACAAGAACCATACATTTTGCAATTTGCATATTCAAGAAGGCAAAATGACATTCCTCACAAAAAGCCAAGAAATATAAAATGAAGAAATTAATGCGTGGCTTGATCATCTACTTATCACCCCCCGTTGTTCGTGATCACAAGCTTGAGTCCAAGTTAGGTGCCCAATTCTTATCGTCCAAGTGGCGAGAAAAGTGGTAAATTTTATCCACGTCGTGCCACGACGTTAAATGCGGCGCTTGGTGGGAGGCAACCCATTTTTTTTAAAATTATTTAGTCATTTTTGAAATTTTCTTTTTTAGAATAGTTTATTATTTTATTTTTGACTAATCTGCCAAGTTTCACAATTTTTTGAGTTGATTTGAGCAGGTCGGGGTGACCAGAGAGCCAAAAACCAGTAGCTGAAAATTGCAGAAGCTCAGTGTTCGCATTTGCGAACTTGGCCACATCACAAAATTCAAGAAAGGGTCTCATTTGCGACCTCTGCAGAATGTTTAAAGCTCGCAATTGCGAATAGGGAGTCACAAATGCGACCTCTGAGGCACCTATACTGGGTTTTGCTTAACACTTGCTAAAATAATTGCAAGAATCTTTTGAGGCCCTAAAATTAAATGACTGGTTTCTTCCTCACTCCCCCAACCTTGAAACTCCCTCATTTTTACTCCTAATTGCAAGCATCAAGGTATAAAGGCTTAATCTTTGTGCTCTTTATGTTCCATAGCATCATCTTCTTCTTCTCCTCTCCTTTATTGCTCAACAACTAGGTTTCAATTTGATTTTCCTTTTATGTGCAAAATTGTTTGAAAAACAACATAAATCATGTGTTGATTTCTGGGTGAGGTTGGTTGAGAGTGTGAACTTATTCTTTGCTTGAAAAATGGAGAAGTCTGAGTACCCATGGCTTTGTGAAAATAGAAGTGATTTTGTGTGCTATCTATGTGTTCGATGAAAGGCCCGATTGAGATTCTTGGCCGAATCATTGAAATTTTTTTCAATTCATGGTTGTGTGTGAAGTCTATTGCATGATTTTGTGCTTAAAAACTGATTGGGTTATCTAAAAGTGTGCTTTTGTTTGAAAAATTTTGGGGCTTTGGACTGTTCTCTGAGTGAAGATTGGTTGGGGACGAGGAGATCGCAATTGCGATGACCTCTTCGTATTTGCGAAGTGGTGGTCTCAATTGTGAAACTCTCAGGCCTGGCAACTTTCGCATTTGCGAAGATGAGCTCGCAATTGCGAGCAATGACAATTCCTGTTGCCTTCGCAATTGCGATCTCTTGGGTTTCCTGTTTCCTTCGCAATTTCGATATCAGAGAGCTGTGCTTTACATATTTGAAAATCTGAATTTTTTTCTAAGGTTGTGTTTCGACTGTCCAATCATTTCTTGACCATATTTTAATCATTTTGCAATATTTTTCATAGCCATACCATGTTTTCACTCCAATCCTTTGTTTACAGGTATCGTAACTCCGACGAATCCGCGAATGACAACCCTTTGGAAGAGGAGGATGCGACTGAGTCCGACAACGAGGAGAGCACTTGATGCAGTATTCAGGGAGCACTTTTCACCATTTTACTCTATTTTGTTTAGTTGCATTGGAGACATTGCAACATCTCTAGTTGGGGGTGACTTCTTGTATAACTGTGGATATGGTAGATTGGTATTTTTGTTTGTTTTCATATGATGTTATTTTATTTTCATGTGATGTGTTATATTAGTATGTTTACTAGCTTCTTGAATTTTTATTTTTATGTATAGTATATTTTATTGACTTGATGTTTATTAGCTTTTTGATTTTTTTATATAGTATGTTTTATTTTGGTGGCGATATCCTTGGTTTTCTTTGTACCACGGTTCTTTTTCTGAGGACGCCAATTTTCTTTTTGAACAGGGTAATTTTGGGTAAATTTTTGTGTTGACTTTTTCCGATGATGAATAGCTAGGCGACTTTCTTAAGGGAATTAGTCTTGTAGTTTAGATATAATTTTTGTTAATTTAGGAAGAATTAAGTGGTATGAGTTGGGGTTTGTGTCCATTGGCCAATTTGTGGCTTGCTTGGTACCAGCATGATTTAAACCTCGGCATATAAATTCTTGATCTTTTAAAAAGGAAAATGATTGAAGTAAAGATCATTGTCATGACTTTTAGACTCAATTTTTGGTTCTTTGATTCACTAAATAACTTCTTATGCTATATGTAACTTCTTTGAGTCATTGGTTTCAATTGGATTTTGGATTTGTATTCCACTTGAGTGTTCATGTGCCATGTGTAGTGAGATTTATTGTGAGTTCTTTTGCATCATTTGTAGTCTAGAACTTGCCCGAAATGTGCTTCAAGGCGAAATCCTAGACTAACTTGGTTTGAAAAATGATGTTAGGCCTTCCTTGGATCGCTATTGTGCCTTAAATTTCCTTCCCTTGCATATTTTCCCTAGTCAACCCCTTTTGAGCCTTTAAACTTTTTCTTTGGCAACCATGTTATAAGCTTTAACCCTTCGTTCTTTATTGATTTATCTTTTGGCACCCTACCTCCCTAAGTACTTTGAAAGTATAAACACAGGCTAAAAGCCTAAGTTTGGGGGTGAAGGTTGGAAAAGTTGTGATGTGGATGTTGCTTAAAAGTTGAAAGGTAATAAAAACAAAAAGAGAAAAAGAGTAATATTTGGAAAAAAAGGAAGGAAAAATAAAGAATTGTGAATAAATGGAAGAGTAGATGATGAAATAAAAAAAAATGAAGAAAGGGTGGAAAAGTTCTTGAAGGAAGTGTACTTTGATTGTTAAAAAATTATTGTGCTTAGGGAGGTTTTGAGTCACTCTAACCAAAATTGTGCCCTACCCTAACCAAAAGCCTAAACTACAACCTTTTAAGTCCTAATTGATTTTGAACCAAGTTTGTCTACATTAGTGGAGAAATACATGAAGGGCAAGCCTATGGTACTACTTGTGTGCATTTGAACATTTTTGTGAGAGAGAACTAATTCTTTCCATTTGATATTCCATTTATGTTTTGCATTGTAATATATGAGTGTGAGATTCTCTCTTAAGTGTGAGGGCACATGAGATTTGAGTTGTGAATTTAATCCCATTTTCAATTGGAAGGAATGAACAAGGGAAGTTAATTGTGATAAAGAGGTAAATTTTGAAGCTTTAGTGTCATGACTTGATTGCTACTTTGATCTACATAGTGTTTGAGCACTTGGATTGTAATGAAATTCATAAGAAGTTTTTGGTATTTCATATGCTTTGGAGTAATTGTTGGTATCAATCGAAGTCATGTGTTTGTGCCAAAAGTAGACCTTTTTGACTTGGCATGATATAGATGAACTATTAAGTTAAATACTTGGAAGGAGATTTTGTTGCTTTCATTGCTTGAGGACAAGCAATAGTTTAAGTTTGGGGGTTTAATAAGTTGGTATTTTACCAACTTATCTTATCTTTAAGCTTAGTTTTTTGCTATGTTTAAGTGATAAAATTATGTGTTTAATGCCGTTTACTTCTATTTTATAGGATCTATGTGATTTAGAAGTGATCATGAAGAAACGAAGTAAAAAAGAATCAAAAAGAAGTTGAAAAGAAGAAAACATGGAAAATGACCTCAGATATCGCAATTGCGATGCAGATGTGGGAAATGCGAAGAAAGCAGTAATCACAAATGCGAAAAAGGGCTTCGCAAATGCGTAGTCAACCCAGGCAAGCAGTCTTCGCAAATGCGAAAACGGGTTTCGCAAATGCGTTGTCAACCCAGGCAAGCAGTCTTCGCAAATGCGATGGTCAACAGGAATATCATTGTTCGCAAATGCGAACATTGCTTCGTAATTTCACACTTTTTGGCCCCAAACCCTTTAATACACGGCCTACCTTATTTGAAAAAGATCTTTGGCATATCTTTGGCAGCCTTTGGACATATTTGGCATTTTTGGAGCTAGGGTTCTTGCACACACACTTGGGTCTTGAAAATTTGAAGCTTTTGGTTGTGAATTTCTTACTCAGTTATGCTCATTTCTTCATTTTCTTGCTTTGTATTGAATATCTAAGTGTGTAATATTTTTTTCAATATTTGAATCTTGTTTATGGGAATATTCATATTTAAAGTGTGGATTAAATATCTTGTTGTGCTTATGTATTGAATAATTTTTATTTATTATGAAGTGAGTTATTGTTTCTTTAGTTATTCTTGTTCTTTAATATTTTCAAAGGGATTAGCTAACCCTAGGACTCGCCCATTTACTTCGAATTAATTTTGGGAAAGATAATTTGGGGTTGAGAAAGATTAATTAACAAGAACTTGAGGCTTTAACCCTCAATTTATAGATTCTACCTAGGGATAGGATTGAACTACTTGTAGCCATATTCGGGTGTGCTTAATCTCTTAATTATTTTAGGAATAATTCAATTAGAAAGTCTTGTTAGTCTTCGGAAGAAGCTAATATAGAATTATTACCCGAGGCTAATTAACATAAACTCGCTCATATTTGTCAAATCGTGAAATACATTGGATTGTTACTTGAGTGTAATTCCCAATGCATCCATGCTTGTAGGTTAGTTTATATTCCGCATTTAGCTATAATATTTTCACAATCATATTTTAAGTGTTTGGCTTAGCATAATAAGTGATATTTCTCATACACGCCTAATCGCCTACATATTGTTCTCTTTGGGATTCGACCCCTACTCATAGTTTGGTAAATTATATTGCATGCGACCGTGTCCATTTACATTTTAGAAGTGGATTTGATGTCATCAGTCCGTATTATATTTTGGGACTTATTGGTATGTTCGTACGGGGTCTCTAGGGACTTGGGTGGGTTTCAGATATGTTTAGGTTGTGTTGCGTTTGTTTTGATATTTCGTCGTCATTTCTTCAAGAATTAATGGTATCACATTAAGCAAATAAGCTCCAAATTTAGTTTTTTTTTAAAGCATTAGATCTGTATTATAATTACGGAGCCATACCAAAAAGAATCGGTGAATTCGGACATCATATGTGAGAGTTATGCACATTTCCGTTTCGGGAAGACTGTTGGTTTCTGGTGTAGTATCCTAGGGCTCGCAAATGAAAACATTTGATATCATTTGCGACTTCTGCCCTGTTCCAGTTTGCATTTGCGAACATTTTATCACAATTTCGACATTTTCCATCCCTGTTGTTGTTCGCAATGGTGAAGGCTTCTTTTCTTTTGTGAGGGTTCGCAATTGCGACGTCTGCAATTTGTTTTCAGCTGTGTAGTTCGGGTTTTTACTTCATTTTTTGATATTTTTGAACCTAGGCCCGAATGTGGGCGATTTTGAGAGATAAATTTCATCTACAATCATTGGGTAAATACCCTTATTCAATTTCTATGTATATTTCATGATTATATTTGAGTTTTAACATGAAAATAGTGAGAATCAAGGTGAAAAATGGGGAATTTTGTCTAAATTTCGAAAATATGAAATTTCTTGATTTGAGAGTCGAATTGGACTCCGACTGGAAAAAAAATCACGTATTTAAACTCGTAGGGCTATGGGTAGTCGAGATCTACCCCTCGACTCGAGTTTTGACCGGGCGGGCCCGGGATTGACTTTTTAGAAATTATATAAAGATCATAACTTTGTTAATTAAAATTGTTTCCTCTTGCATTGTTTGATGTATTTAAGTCGTCTTTGGTTAGATTGAGCCGAGCGGAGGTGAATTTGTAAAGGAAAATCTAATTTGAGTATTGATCTAGCCTCTTTGAGGTATAACTTTGTGCAAGGGAACCACCCCTTAGGATTTGAGTCATTTGTACTAATTGTGTCATGTGAAGGCCATGTACGTAAGGTGACGAGTACGTACTCAAGCTTAATTGTGAAAATTTGACCGTTTAGGGCTCTTAGGTTCTTATGTTCATTAGATATTAAGTTGCTTTGTCATGTTAAATCCTCCATTTACTAAATCCACCCTTACGTGTCTTATTTGGAATTAATTGATTCATGTTCTACCCTTGTTGCCAATTAAACTCTTATGTGCGTTAAGTAAAGTTGTTGCCTCTAATATTGTCATATTATCTTTTCCGTAATTGCTTAACCCTAATTGAAGTTATTATTATCTCTTCAGTAATTACTTAACCCTAATTGAAGTTATTATTATTTGTTCCGTAATTGTTTAACCTTAACTGAAGTTATTAGTATCTCTTCTGTAATTGCTTAACCTTAATTGAAATTATCATTATCTCTTCCGTAATTACTTAGCCTTAATTGAAGTTTGTTATCCCTTTCATGGTTGACATATTCTTATTTGGGGTTATTGATTCATGTTATCTCTCTTATCGTCAAATTGTACTTTACTGGAATCATTGTTACATATTATCTCTCCCTTGTTGAGCTATTCTTATTGAGACCATTATTCCCTGTTGTGTTTTTCTTTGTGAGCTCATTCTTTTGTTTTTTTATGTTATGAAGTTCTTGTGTTGATTTACTTGTCGTATTCTCGTGTTATAGTTGTTGTTGATGTTGTACTCAGTGTTGTTGAGTCGAGGGCTATGCGTGATAGTGGTATTGAAACTATTTTGAGGAAATGTTATGGCATATGGGCACATGTTATGGAAGTCATTTTATGGTGTTGTTATATTTTGGCACACGTGGTAGTGTTGTGAGGATTGTCGGGATGTTCGCACGTGAGTTGTTCGTGTTGTTGTTATTATTGATATTTGCACATGCGGCCTGACCAGGCCAGTT